TGCTTGTTCCACTCCTCCATTTTGAAATCATGTGAGTCAGGTTCTCTCCCTCTTTGTCTTTCTCTTTCGTCTTCTTCTCCTTCTTCATTGTTCTCTCTTCTATTCTTCTATCTTCTTTTTCATCTTCTTTTCCGTCTTTTTCTCCATCACTCTCTTGAGAAAGACAGAACAGAGATACTAAGAAAGACATAACTCAGTCTGCTCTCTGCCATTTCTCTACAATTCCTTTCTCTTACACCTCTCTCTTCTCACAAATGACTTCATCCCACCCCCTAACTCTTTTTCCAGACCTTAATGATCCCATGAGTTCTCCTAGATAGAGTGCCCTTGCTCCTAGTCATCCTAACCTTCTTACACTGACAATCGAGTAGATAATGGCTGCTCAAATTGACATTGAAGCCAACCACTACACGCTGTAGTCATGTATAGAGATAGTGGCCGCGGTCACTAACTTGTCTTATCAGTTGCAAAACAAGCCCGACGAGGTACATTGGGTCGATGCTCAACTCTCTCTACTCTAGCGTATGTACAAGGATGCGCGAGTAGAGATTTGCATGTTGAAGGCGGAGAACAAAGAGCTGAAATGGAAATCTACTGTCATGGCCTGATTTGGAGCACCTTCGTACTTTGTTTTTGATGACCAGCGGGGAGGCAACTCTCTCGGTGGCCTTACAAGCACTGAGGCAGGGCCTTCAAGGGTTTCCTCAGATGAAACCAAGAGAAAGACATCGGTAGGAGAGCCGAGCAAGTGAGGTTGGCGTGTGGCCGTTGTTGGAGAAAAAAGAAGAAGAACAAGATCCATCTCTCTGTCTCTTTTATTTATTATTATTATTATTATTTTATTATATGTTTTTTTGGATTGATTTGTTTTATATATATGCTTGTACAAATTTCATCGGGGTTAATCCTTGATATTGGCAAATCCTAATGGCACGAATGGCACAACACTTGGACATAAAAATAATTTTTGGAATTGAGAATGGTTTGAACTTGAAAATAGCTGCATTTTAATGTATTCTGAACTGAATATTGAGCCTATCACTAACCAAAACAAAAAAATACAACTCAATGAAAGAAAAACAAAGCAAAAACCATCCCAAACGCACCCCTATATGATTGCCGGAATAAAATGGACACAAAACAGAGCAACACGACTCGACTGCCTGATGGGAAAACATTGCTGGTGACAACTACTGTGCAATTTCCAGCGAGTGTTTGACGGAAAGAAAAAGTACAAGTTAATATGACCTTGGTGACGAGGACTTGAGAGTGTGAAGAAAGGACAGAAAAACCTGACTCAATTATGCCCCTAGTTCATCGCTTTGCCCTTTTCTTTTAGTTTTTTGACTAAAAAGATTTTGATCAATAGAACAGTTTGATTAGCATGCTTGTTCCACTCCTCCATTTTGAAATCATGTGAGTCAGGCTGTGAGCACTGAAAATTTTCCCTTTTGGGTCTAAAGAATGGTCTGAGTTTTGCAAACATGGAACAATTTTTGAGAAAATCAATCAACTTCATTAAAAGTCCTCAAAATCTATTTTCGCAAATGACCACTACCCGATCAACATGAAATCAACCTTTGAGATGTATAACTGAATTCATCTTGTGACTGAACCCATCATGAAGGAGAAATAGGACAACTGAATCAAATGGGGACGAGCCAATTAAATATGGATAGCTGAGTCGAATAAAGATACACCAATCAAACATGGACGAGATGAATGAGTTGAAAAATGGTTAGGGCCGAACTTATGAAGCTGCCTACATATCCTAACGATAGGAATCAGGCCATACATAGTTCTATCTAAGGTTCAGTCGGGTATTGACACTTTCCTTTTGTGCTCTAACTTTTGTCAAAGCCGCCCTTTCGGGTTTTCAACCTTGCGAGCTTTTCATTTTTTAATTTTTTTTAATTTTTTATAATTTTTTTTAAATATTTTTTTTTTCACTTTCTATTTTTTGTTTTTTTGCTCTAACTTTTGCCTGGGTCGCCCTTCCGGGTTTTCAACCTAGCGAGCCTTTCAGGGATAGTACTTCTTTTTCTTGTCCATGTTGATTGGTTGTGAGATCTCTAAGCTATCTAAATCCGTGAGAATGGTTGCTCCTCCAGACTAGATAGTCTTGATGATGTAGGGACCCATTCAATTGGGTCTGAATTTTTCCCCTAGTGTGGTAGATAGGAACTTGATCGTCTTTTAGCAATAAATCTCCTTTTCCCAAATTCTAGCTTTTGACTTTCTGGGTGGTTTTCATTGGGAAATGATCCAATTTTTAAATCTTTGATCACATCCAACCTCATTGCCCCTAGTTCAAGGGCTGCTTCCAATCTGAATCACATCTGACCTTATGGCCCCTAGTTCAAGAGCTGTTTCCAATCTGAATCACATCTGACCTTATTGCCCCTAGTTCAAGGGCTGCCTCCATTTCGACTATGCAAGCCTCACACTTTGGTTGATCATTGAATGTTTTGAATTGCAGTTTGAAAGCTAAGGGGTCAAGCTTTAGGTTGAGAGGGATCCTATGCTATACAATCTCATGATCAATTCCAAGCATGTCTTCATAGGACCACGCCAAAATATTTTTTGAAATCTTTTAACAAAGTGACTAATCTCTCATGCTCTTACAAAGATAGTATAGAACCAATCTGGACCAAGCCAGGATTCTTCTCAGTACCCACATTAACAAAAATGATCTCATTCATCAAGGGCTTAGCACACCTCTCTTCCTCTTAGTCGATCAAATTTTGCAAGTCCCGAGGAATTCTTTCCTCTTTGTTTCTAGCATAGTTTTGGAAAAAGTTTTGAAAAACTTTGGTCAATGCAATGATTGAAAGGCACATAAAAGAAGGTAAAAATTACTGCCGTTTCATTCTGGTTATTTGGCTCAACAACTGAAATTGACTCAAAAGAAAGAAAGACAAGACAAGACAAACACTAATAGGACAGTGATGCCCAGGTTAACACCCTCGAAATCACCACACTCTGACACACCAAGACTGACTCAATAGGACTCAAAACCCAGTTTAGAAACTAAAGCAAAAAGCATTTCCAAATTGCTAAAATCAGTGTGTGCCATCAGCAGGTGGTTTACCCCTGATCACAGGACCAGCCATACTATCCCCCAAGTTCATTGATCCAGTGCCGATAGACTTTATAGGACTTGGTGGAGTGATGATCTTGTTGTTAATCAGGTCTTGAACTTTATGGCGAAGAGGAAAACAACCGTCAGTGTCATGGCCAGATTGTTGATAGAAGGCACAGTACTTGGCAGCATTATACCTGGCTGGAAGAGGATTAGGGAGAGGCCGAAAGTCAAGAGGCTTGAGATGGCCTTGTTCTATGAGGATTTGGAGAGCTTTGGACAGGGTCATGTAAAGGGGATTGAAGGTGCGGGGGTTACCAGTCCTGGAGGGATTGACAGAGGGGCTAGCAAGTGTTGACTGGGTTTAATGATTTCTTACGAGTGTAGGATTGGAACTGAAATGGGTTTTTCTGGTATGACATCCATTTTCCCGGCTTGCCCCTTGATTTAAAATGCTCCAACCTGAGTGACAAAAGTGTCATCCACAGTCTTTGCAACAATTGTAAGCACTTGCTACTTGTTTAGCTCTCTGACCTTCAAAGCCTCAATGGCCCACTGAAGATGTTCATAGGGGTCAATGCTTGCCTCGACCTTGTTCTTGCCACTTTTTTCAATTTTGCCAAAAGATCAGGTGGTTATATCGCAGCGAGGCCCATTCATTGTTGACATGTCATTACCCAGACTCGAAATATCTTCGGGTTGGCCATTTTCAATTGCAGCTCACCTCAAGATTAGGGAGCATTTTGACGTGAAATTTCTGGCACGTGATGTGGTCGATAGCGGAGCTAAGATCCCAAAGGCTAAATCTACCACAGTGCTTTAAAGATCTTCAATCATGCTCAACAGCCTAGAAGTAGTGGGTTTGGCTATTGGTGCCTACGAGGCATCACTACAAGAATTCGCACTTTTGCCGACTAAAAATTTGGTTGGCAAAAGTCCATTTTTAGTTGGCAAAAGTTATCTGCGACTAATTTTTTTGGTCGCCAATTGAGGGTCGCGTACAGTAATTAGCGACTAAAATTTTTTTAGTCATGGAAAAGTTATATTTGCCGACTAAATTTTTGATCGCTAAATATATAATTACTGCGACTAATCCATTTAGTAGCTAAAACACTTTAGTCGCGAAAAGTCATATTTTCCCGACCAAACATGTTAGTCGCCAATTCGCAAATTCAATGACCAAATAGTTTGGTCAGCAATTGTGGCCCATTTCCACGACCAACAAATTTGGTCGCCAATTGTCACATTCCGTGACCAAAAAGTTTGGTCGGCAATACATTCCATGACCAACAAGTTTAGTCGGCAAATGGCACATTCCACGACCAAAAAGGTTGGTCGACAATTGTCACATTCAACCACCAAACATGTTAGTCGTGAAAAAGAATGTTTGCGCAACTAAAACTTCAGTCGGCAATTGACCTATTAGCGACGAATTCCTTTTTGGTCGCCAAAATTAATGACTTTAACGACTAATTATTTAGTCGGCAAAAGTATTAGTTATCTTTCCCAACAAATCAATTGGTCGCCAAAACAGAAAAAACAAGATCAACATTTGGTCGCCAACATCCAACTAAATAAACCTGTAATTCATAATAATTCATCCAATCCATTCAATATAATATGTAATTTACAAGCATCATTCAAATCAATTGAATCATGAACATTCGACAAAATATAAATCATCCAAACTGAACCTATTTAATGAAAGACATCAACTAATATAAGTTTTGATCGACAAGTAATTTCAAACTACATATTCCTCCAATTAAAAATACACTTGTAATCCATATAATCATCCAAGTCACATCCATTTAGCATAATAATTTAAAACATAACAATTAGTTGTTATTATGTTTTAAATTGTTATCCATGCGCATCTATCAAAAAATATACACACTAGTAGTCTATCCAAATATTTTCCATACACATTCATCTAAAAAATATAACTACTAGTCTTTCCAAAAATATAACTACTAGTCCACCCAAATCTTTTCCATACACATCTATCCAAAAATATATATTTCTTCCAAAAATGCTTATAGTGCCAATCAGTCATATACAATTTAGCTTTGTGCACGAGATAATCCATCTGTACCAATCCAAAAATATATAATCCTTCCAAAAATGCTTATAGTCCTGTACAATTTAGCTTTGTGCACGGGATCATCCATCTATACCAAAGAAAATGAGAAATAATGTTAGGTAAATTTTTGTTGAAAATATTTGCACATCACTTTATTGTAAAATTGGACAAAAAATGCAAATTCTACATGAAAAGTAAAGGAAACATTAACAAATTAAATGACTATCAATACCATTTTGTAAATAAAACATCATTCATATGTATATATCAATTCTAACTATTGTTCCACAATATGCCAATATTGACCTATGTTTCAACAATGGAAACTAAGTTAAAATAGTCTTTCTACTTCTGAATAGTCTATATGCTTTGGTTGAACTTTTACTTAGAGGAGGGCAAGTGTGAGAGCGGAGTGGAAGATACGAGGTTGGGATTATCAACACAAGCTCCAGCAAAACAACAAACCCATCTCTCTATCAGAAGCATATTACCAGACTAATGCATGTGTTTTTGTCTGAATAGGCTATATGTTTTTGTTTATATGCTACCAGAGTAATGTATGTGTTTTTGTGAGAGCGTAGTGAAAGATACTTCTGAATAGTCTATATGTTTTTTTCTCTAGCCATCTCTACAACTACTATTTTCACTTTAGGCTACTGCATAAAGGGGTGCAAACATGCCTTTGTCGCTTGGAAAAAGGGCATATAATAAAACTTATGCTTTAATATGCAGATGTAGAATCTGAAAATCAATTCCCTCAATAAAAGGTTTTTTCATTAGTCACACACTGAAGTGCACATTATTCAAAACTTATGCAGTTAAGAAGTTTACAATTCCATACGAGACTATTGTATGTGTGTGTTCTGTGTACATAGCATTATTTTGTTTCTATTCATGTCAATTTGGAAAAGGAACAAAAAATTATGATGCTACTGTTTCTTATGTTGTTAAATCACAAACAGAATGACAAGACCATGTATCTTATAATTAGTTTACACATTAAAACAATACAATATTTTGGAGCATCTCCATACTAAAACAAAACCAGATCAACTGGCTACACCATAACAGGGCCCATCCTTAAATATCAATGTCACAAGTTGAAAAAATCAATGATGGACTGCAACAAGTACACCTATTCAGTCCCATTCGGGTAATAACCTAGAGGTTCAGTATGTAGAGAAAATTTAATTTATTGTACTTCAGCAACGATATGGACATTCTCAAAAAATTCAGCCATTGCACTTTGTGGCTTAACTATCACTACTTAACTATGATCCAGAATAATCAAATTGTTATCCATCATCATATTTTGCCACTAGACTGTTGCAAATGCCAAAAACTAGGAAAGTAGGTCATATCCAACAAACATAATGCAACCTTAAGGCCATGTTTGGCTGGTAGGAGTGGCAAGGAAAATGAGAATCTCATTCCATGTCTCTTTCATTCCTTTGTTTGGATGCATCTAAGAATGAGAATGTGATTCATACAATAGTTCCCAAGGCAAAATGAAATTACCACACTAGTAAGAATCCCATTCCCACATTCCCCATCGAAATCTCACATTCCTGGAGGTACATAACTCATTTCAGAATAAAATAAATTGATGGTCCCATAAAATTTAAAATTAAATCATATTCCTTTAGAGGATTTATAGAGGATTCCTAACCAAACCAAACACTTAAATTACATTGACACAGAAATATATTATTACTAGTAATTAAATCACTAGTAAAAAGATTCTCATTCTCACTCTTTGATTCCTCCTATCATCCAAAAAGAACCTAAATGTAAGAAGGTGAATCTCAATTGCCAACATATGATATCCATAAAATACTAATCTTACTAATCCAAAAAGTAAATGTAACTACAGCAAACATTACCTTTGAGTCATCTAGCATGTACCATGCATCTGGGGCAGAATGAATGAAGCAATAGTAATGACCTGAAGTGGATGAGAATTCGATATGCACAACAACTGCATATAGATTGTACTTCAATTCCATCTATATGGTATAGACAAAACAGAGTTTAGTACCTGTCCAATTTTGAGGGCGTTACATGATCACTCAATTAGTAAAAATATTTGAAGCAGCTAAGTTTTCTAAAGCCATTCACCATCAGCACCCAACAGAAAATGCAAATTACTTAACCATCATAATTTTTCAGATTAGATCATGAGACAGTTGCATTAGGACTTCTATTTATGAAGTTCATTTTCCTAACAGATCTTTTAACCAATGGCTTTGACATCAGTAACAAACTTACTATTTGATTATTTGTTGGTAGAAATTCTCTAGCAAAATCGGAGCCCATATACTCACATCATTATTCTGATCGCCACCAGTGTATGGCAGCAAGTCTAGCTCTAGTGGGAACTCCACGTGCTTGTCAATCTTCTCAGCATAGGAGCCATCATTCTTGAATCTTTTCAAGTGGAATGCAGCAACAGAAGGAGCCTGGTTCAATATAAGCTGTTTTTCTACTAACACTTTTTCTTTACATTGTTCACAAGTGAACTTTGTCCTGGATCTTCAATCTTTTCCACCTTCGTGAAAGATTCCAATGCACTAGGAAGAGTACCCATATTCTCAATCTCCAAACTCAGGTCAATCAAGGGCTCATAGGTGTCAGAAGAGTGACCAACCACAATTGCAGCATTGAAGCTAGAATTCAAACACAAAAGCATTCAACAATTAAGAAACAATTCCAAATCCTAAATCCTACCCATATATGTATGTCTGTGTGCGTATGATGTTAGCTTTAATAGCAAACTTTTTTCTAATAAATAATAGCTAACCTCGTTATCAAAATAATCAATATAAAAGGTGAATCAAAAATAAATTTAAAATTCATACTTTGCTAATCAGACGGGCACCAAAAACTTGCTTGACCAAGCTCTCATCAGCTGAACGCAAAGAAGTATTCTTTGTGAATAAATACAACAGCAGTCAAGTCTATCCAACAAGCATTACAGGAACTCATGTGCATCTTCCTGCTGGAACCTCTGAAAGTTGGATGAAATATCTGGAATTTCCTAGGTCAAGAATCACAATGACATAAACTTCTAAGAAGTTAATATTTGAAGAAGCAATAGTTAGTTAAACGAGATAACACGAGACCACAAACACAGAGAAATAAAGCAATCAGAAATGCTGATTAGTTCAATTTGCTTTGATGTAGTGACAAAAACTATATTATTAATACATCCTTGTAGACGCGCCCCGAGGGCTTCATGCTACTACAGTTCGGACTCAAATGTCACGGTTTTGAATCTAATCCCGCAAAGTGCAATGCGAGACTGATAAATTACCAAAGAGTCCAAATCCGGCAAATCGTTTTGGAAAACTGATTTTTAAGAGAAGAAGGGCCAAACATGGACTGCTTTTCCAGATACAGAGTCGCCACCTAAATGTTTTATTTTGGGAGAATTTAGGAAACCCTGACTCATTGCCTAAGGCCACGTGTCCGTCATCACCAAAGTTGCCTCGGCTCAGGAACTTGGGTACGATCGGGGAAGGTCAGCTATGAGCACCCCCTCTCGCCCGATCCGAAGATCGGCCTCGACTAACCGTGATATCCGTTTTTGAAAACGTTATGTGTTCTTATCCCAATTATTAGACTAGAATTACTATGTTATGCACACAGCACACAAGTATAGACTAGGTTGCCTAATTTGGAAATAAGCATTGCATATCCGTTTGTCTTGAAAAATACTCGCAAGTAGGCTAAGCCGTGGATTTGCCACCCTCGAGTGGGCTTAGAAAAACATGATTTTGCCATAATCAAGTGGGCTTAAAACTCGTATTTCAACGAATTGTTCTAATTCAAGTAATCCAACCTTCACCCACAGGCATTCAGGCAGTTATATCACATAAACAAATAGCCTCATGGCAAGCATGCTATCATGGCAACACTCACACTCATGCAAGGATGCTAAAGCATAAACACTCACCGAGTATTCCGAGCCAAAACAAAAACTAGTTAGTAATCAATGCATGATCCCAATTCATGTTTAGATGGCTAATGCAACACATGAAAAATGCAACTAGAAATAGGCTCGGCTATTCTAAAATGGCATATGAGATGCAACAATTGATACATGTATTCAACTTGGTATTGAAATACAATGCGGTTTGTATGATGCGCCGAGCCCGGTGCATGCAAGACAGATGAATGATGCAAACATGCATAGCATAAGGATGCTAATTGAAAATAACCCTTAACTAACCATCAAAAGCAGGTAAGTAAAAGGGAGAAAGACGTGGGGTTGGAAGACATTCACACACTCATGCACACTTATTACAAAATTCGCCCTCTCGACGGAGGGTCCGAAAGAATAATACAAATTGACTAATTAACCAACTAACTAGCTAATTAATTAATTACCAACCAAATCGAAATAAATAACTATTCTAAGTTATCAAAACACTAAAATGGCCTCGAGACGAGGGAGGAATTCATGCTCGAACGGCTTCGCTCGGAAATCCATCGCCATGCTACATGTTACCTCTGTTTGCACTGCTCTATACCTCTGAAGACTGCACAAGTCTCTAGGATGCTTTTGAATCACCTTCTGGGTGCTGTAAGAGGCCATCGACCAAGTGGAAAGGCCATCGACCAAGGGGAACTGATCATCGACCAGTAATGGGGCTCTCGGCCAACAATGGTTAGCCGATTGGCACTGAAAATAGCCGACCGGCCATTTCTTTCAGTAAAATGTTGTTTTGCTACAGCAGAGGACAAACAAAGCATGGCAATGCATTTTCAAAGCAATGTGTGCACAACCACCCTTCCTATCATGTCATGAACTCAAAGGAGTATGGTTCTTGACCCTCGGGCCATCAATCACACATTTCAACGCATGATGGCCAAAGGAGCCAAGTGTGCAAATGAATATGGAATGAATGCACAAAACACATGAAGGCCTCACACTCTATCATGTTGGATCAAGAGCGTTGGCGACTAAAGATTGAGGCACGTTTCGTCACTTCAAGTACGAACGTTCCTCGCTCCTCGTGTTTGGTTGGACACCCCAAACCAAACACAATGTAATGCAAGCGAGTATGCCAAATACAATGCAACATGGAAATGTAATGCTGCGCAACCTAAGCATGCACAAGGCTAAGGTAACAAGCATGCCAAATGCAATGCAACCTAATCAAGCATGTGACAAAATGCAAACTAGCAAGCATGCAAAATGAAACCTAAACGTACAAACATGCAATGTAATAGGCATGCGACAACAATACCAATAACAAGGATGTGACAACATGCAATGCGATAAGCATGCAACGACACACAAACCGCTTGATCCATGGACTTACATTGAAAATGGATAGGCCTCAGCCACACCAAAAAAAACAGTGGCCAAAATGATGAAGTGATAGAATGAAATGCACAATGAGCATGCACATACAATGGTCCAAGAGTTAAGGCATAAGGTCACAACACCCAAACATGAGCGAGGGGTGACAATCATGGTAGTATGGTGACACCATAAGCTCTGAAATTATGTTAAGAGCGATGCCAAACCAAACACATAACACAAGCAAGGCATGCTAATAGACTTCAAGTTCAAAGCTAGCCAAGGTACTTGAACCATGGCCATATCAACCAAGCCCCAAAGGACCAAGGTGACCCAAAACAGTCCCAAGGCAGTCCAAAACAAGGCTAGAACATGCATGGGATGAGGCCAAAACATGCTAGAAAGGTGAGCACCAAACAAGACGCATACAAGGCCAAAAGGGGCAATTGCACTACACCTATTGCAACCAAACATGGCATGACTTAGGCCAATAAATCAGAGTTGCGGGATGTTAGAATGAGCCCAAAAACCCACTTATATGGCATCCCAAAGGCCTAAGTATGATGGCATGCACAATGACCTAAACATAAACTATCCAAAGCATGGAATAGGTCATAAATGCAAGTGTGTGACCATGAAACATGGACTGAAATTACATTTCACATGATGCCAAATCATGAAAATACTTCAAGTAACACATGCTAATGAACTCAAGGCACAAAGCTTACAAGCTAGAATCAACCAAGGTTATCCAAAACAATGCATGCATGACCAAGACAACACCGAATAGAGTTTAATCATGGTAAAACATGAGGGAAAGCTCCTTGGAGTCGACCCAAAACATGCAAGAATAGTGGTCCAAACACAAGATTCATGTTATGCAAACATGCAAGATTACTCTACAAGTATGTGAAACATGCAAGATGCCGTCAAACCAACATGGAATAGAGTTAAGGTAGGTCCTAAAAGCCACTAAAAAGTGCTGAAATAGAACCAAGACATGCTAAGTAAACATGCTACTCTTATAAGCCAACAACACAAGCATATGAGACATAAGGAGAGAGGGGTGTCCCCCCCCTATACTAGACTCCAAAACCACTTCTCCACCACTGATGGTGGGAAGGTCAAAATAAGATGATCCCAAAGCTCAAAAGTAAAGGCACAAAACAAGGCCAAACAAGGCCTAAGAGGGGGTAGACAACTCGCAACCAAAAAGTGACCTTAAGCAACCATAACAAGCATACAAAATCAGAACTTTATGTAGTTTAGAGTTAAGCTTAAAACAATATAGAAGTATGTGTAAAAGCTTAAGCCAAAATGGGGTACCAAAAGCAAGTTGACTCACCCTTGAAGAACAACTTCAAGAACACAACTCCAGCAATCTTCTTGGATCAAAAACAGCCCAAGAACTCTAATATCAACCTTCTAGTGCCTCAGCAACCAAGGATAGTGTAGTGCTAGGTGTTTGTGTGCAGTAGTAAGATCAAAACACACTTTCGAGCTCAAACACACACACAAATCTAGAGAGAGGTAGATATAGAGAGAGATATATCTAACTTGTATATCAGATTTGTAGAACCCCTGGAAAGGGAGAGGAGGCACTCATTTTATAGAAAACCAATTTTACAAAGCTTCTTGGAGAAGCTAAGCAAGGCTCAAATCCCTCCATACGTGTATGGAGGGGGGGAATTGTGCGTGACAGCTGTGCCAGCTGGCATAAAATATCTGCCAAAAGCAGATGGAAAGGGGTCGGCCAGAAAATATGGCCGATTGACCAACAAAGGTGGTCGACCGACCAAATATAGTACCGATTGGCCAACACTCTTGGCCGATGCCAAGAAAAGGGGCCGACGGCTTCAGGCCTTGGCCAATGGGTTGAGGGGATGGCTAACAAGCCACTCTCTTCCCTGAAAAGCAAAAACACAAGTGCTTGGTCCACAACCAAGCACAAAACAGTCAAGTTGAGAGATCTTGAGGCAAGGCGCATGGCCGAGACCTCCGGGAACTCAAAATGAACACGAGCATAGATGATCATCGCGTGTTCAAACGATGACGTCCAAGTCTTGAGGACGGTCATAAATGGAGTGTCTACAATTGCCCCTCTTTGACAGAACTCGAAAGTTATTACAATGATGGGAGTGAATGTCAAAGCCCAGAGACGATCCATTTTTGACAAGGCCGAAGACTTAGACAAGCATACAAGAAGCAAAGATATGTGCCCGCAGACAGGGACAAGATGCAAATGACATTCACAAAGCCGAACATAACTTATGATCATGCAAAGAGAGCTGTAACGAAGCAATTATACACAATAAATGCAACAGTTTAAGTAAGCGAATAAGAATCGAACTACAACTCATGCAGAAAGGATGTAAGAGAATTATACAATTCTCGCTACGTCTCACGTGGAGAATACAATACTTGTCTGGTTCATTTGGTCGTGTCAGCTTCAAATGAACTGTACATATAATATCGTGCCTGAAAAAGAAAGAAACTTAACAGGTACAACATCGTTAGAAACATGCATAGCATAAAAGTGAAAAGTACGTGACAACGCAAGTGAGGAGGTGCATGACAATGCAACCTAAGTGTGATGCATCACAATGCGGAGGAACGTGCGTGGCAACGCATGTGAAGAGTGCATGACAATGCAGGTGGAAGGGGTGCATAACAATGCAACCTAAGTGTGTGCATAACAATGCGATTTGAAACAAGCATAACAATGCAAGGAGGGCATGCGCAGCAGCGCAAGCCGATGGTGGTGCATAACAATGCAATTTGAAACAAGCATAACAATGCAAGGAGGGCATGTGCGACAACGCAAGCAAGGGGTGCATAACAATGCAAGGAGGTGGCCTGTGCGACAATGCAAGCCGGGTAGGATGCATGACAATGCAATTTGAAACAAGCATAACAGTGCAAGGAGGGTATGTGCGACAACGCAAGCCGATGGTGGTGCATAACAATGCAAGGAGGGCATGCGCGACAATGCAAGCAAAGGGTGCATAACAATGCAAGGAGGTGGCATGCACGACAACACAAGCCCCGGTAGGATGCATGACAATGCAATTGAGGCATAAACACATGTAAGTAAAGCAATACGCGACAACGCATGCAATGTGTGAAGCAAGGAAAGCATGAACACATGTAAGTAAAGCATATGCGACAACGTATAACAATGTGTGAAGCAAGAAAAGCATGAACACATGCAAGTAAAGTATACGCGACAACGTATAGCAATGTGTGTAGCAAGGAAAGCATGAACACATGTAAGTAAAGCATACGCGACAACGTATAGCAATGTGTGAAGCAAGGAAAGCATGAACACATGTAAGTAAAGCACACACGACAACGTATAGCAATGTGTGAAGCAAGGAAAAAGCATGAACACATGTAAGTAAAGCATACGCGACAACGTATAGCAATGTGTATAGCAAGGAAAGCATGAACACATGTAAGTAAAGCATACGCGACAACGTATAGAAATGCGTGAAGCAAGGAAAGCATGAACACATGTATGTAAAGCATACGTGACAACGTATAGCAATGTATCTAGCAAGGAAAGCATGAACACATGTAAGTAAAGCATACGCGACAACGTATAACAATATGTATAGCAAAGAAAGCATGAACACATGTAAGTAAAGCATACGCGACAACGTATAGCAATGTGTGAAGCAAGGAAAACATGAACACATGTAAGTAAAGCATACGGGACAACGTATAACAATGCGTATAGCAAGGAAAGCATGAATATATGTAAGTAAAGCATACGCAACAACGTATAGCAATGTGTGAAGCAAGGAAAGCATGAACACATGTAAGTAAAGCATACGCGACAACGTATAGCAATGTGTGAAGCAAGGAAAGTATGAACACATGTAAGTAAAGCATACGCGACAACGTATAACAAGTGTATAGCAAGGAAAGCATGAACACATGTAAGTAAAGCATACGCGACAACGTATAGCAATGCGTGAAGCAAGGAAGACCCATGTTCAGCATAAGTATGGTGAAGGCAGGTCACTCACGATGTTGAGATGCAACTTCAAAACAAGACGAGGCATTGTTTAATGCAAGACACGTAACGAGCGCGCTTATTATAGTCAAAGCAAAGCAATGTAATACAACATATTTAAAGTGATTTGCGGAACTCGCAAGTTACAAAAGGATACAAGAAAGGATACTCCTTGTGCGCACCGAGCATCGTACACAGAAAACACGGCTCGAGGTCAACACGAAGGCCGGTTAAGGTTCAAAAGTGCACTTTCTTGCACTATCTTGAGTAA